GTGAAAACTTTAAACGAATAAAAATTGTGAGACCGATTAAGAAATCGATGACTGTTATTAGAGATCGTTTGAAACGATTTTGACCTTGATATTTCTTTCGTTTTATAGATATAAATCGTTTCATTTGATTATGAGTTGAAATGAAATTTCGATCGAAACTGACATTTTTTTGTGTTTGCAACGATTTGCATATAGTTTCTTGTTGTTCACACCCTTATCCTGTGAATAAGAGCAACGTAAAGTGGATTACGGTAATGGATAGCCTACGATTGATCGGATTAGATTGCGCACGATTGGACTTGCGATAACTCGATCTGCCGTATATGCAGTCAGTGTGAAACGACATACGTTCTGAAGTTACATGCTTCGAGAATTTTGCTTTGTCGCTTTTTATTGTACGACGGTGTTGTTTAATATAGAAATACTTTTCCTTATTTTCCGTATGCATTTGAGAAACATACAATATTTCATTTAATGCAATTTTGAACAATTATTTTCATATATTTGTATTTTTAAAATTTTATTTAATTTAATTAAATTATATTTGTTTTTTCTAAAATTATTAGTTCATTTCTGAAAATAAATGTTCACTAATTATAAAAGTTATAAGTACAATTAGTATATAATATAGTTATATTAGCATAATTTGTACTATAAGTTTATATTATAATTTTTTGATAGCCACAAATAAATCATAGTAAGGGTAAAGTAAATCATCCTATTGTCATCTTTTTATCACCCTCTATTAACGATGAAATTATATAACTACGAAATTTTTGAAGAATCAATTAAAAAAAGTAATGTACGATAATAAACAACACGCAATACCTTCTTAACAACTTGTCGAGCAAGTTGTTAACAAAAAGGCCGAATAGAAATCGCCATACGAATCTAATTGGCACTAATTTTCAAGACCTGCTAGCTTACAGTGTGCGGGAGTAGAAACGTAAACAGAAAAACCGGGGATACGCTCAATCGCTCGTATAATATTGACCCTCCCGTATATATCTATACGTGGAATGAGAAGAACGAATGGAACATAATACTGCTCACCGCCCCCGCCTGTAAACGAACTGCCAAAGCGTTTCATTCATTCCGGAAGGGAAGTCTGAGCTCGTATTGACAGCCGGTCATCAGGAGTACCGACGAAAAATCTAGTGCTCCTTTTTCAACGGTGGAGCTGGACTTTGTGTCGCTCGATCAGACAGAGAAACCCTCGTAATGCGATACGAGCGTATATATCAGGCTATACCTGAGTTGCTTTCTTCCAAACTCTGCCCATTTATGTGTCAGAGCACCGATGACTTTTCGACTTTTCATTCAGATCGTTGACTGATCAATTATTTCAAACATGGGGCCATGATTATACTGGTTATCACCCTCGTTTCATTCTCTCCTTTTAGAAATAATCAATCACTTATAAAAACAACCTTCTCATAACATATCGATTAGATACGTACTAAAGATATTCAAAACCATTTGTTTTTAAAATGTACTTAATTCATCAGATAGGTCAAGTTGTGATGACATGGCTAAATAATGTTTTATCAACTTAACGACCTATCGTTTTGTCTCGTCATCGCATATGTCTCACACACATTGCCTTTCCTTAACTCGCATCGAATAAAATACTACTCAATACTGGCACCCAACGTCGTTGCTCAAAGTTTGTTCACTAAGAATGAAAATACGAGGATAGGAGATGGTATAAAGGCCGTACTAGAGAGAACTATAGACGGCATAGAATAATAGAGATGTCGTCGATGTCTCTACACTCACATACATGACGTGTAATTAAACATGCTCTCGCGCGAAATCGTGAAGTCGCGTGGCCTCCTTCTTGTCCTCCTGCGATCGTCGCTGATCCCCCGTGATGCTGGCAATTACTGAGGGTTTAGTATATGACTGAAGCTGTTGCGACACCGAGCGCAAAGGTCGGCCAGGGACCGTTGACAGTGAGAACCTTACCAATGTGCCCCAGCCACCCCCTGCTGCCCTGAATACCGATTCGACGAACGGCACGTGTCCTGCAGATTCGAATATTCATATCCTCTAACATTGTACTGATCTCTTTCTCTTTTTTTATTTCTCCTCTTTCCTATTCGAATATTTTCTTCATGAATATTTCGGAAAAAATGATCTCACATTTTTTTTTCGTTAAATAGATATAGCCGATGTTATACGATTCCAAATTTTCATGTTGTAAATTTCAATTTGTAAATTCGAGACATAATATTCGTTGTAATTTTATTACCTTATTTGAACGTCTGCTTTATCTATTTATCTATTTAAAAAACGATGAACGTTAATAACAGTTAGAACGTTAATAGATTTCTTTTGATTATGTACGAGCAAAGGGTAGCACGTGCACGCTTATCGTGATTTATGGTTTTTCCTAGCAATGCTACAGTTGTTTTGCATTTAACGGGGGCGGGACTTCGAATTTAAATATTCGAATTGGAGTCGTATCTTGTTTGAAGAAGTATATCTACATATTTCTCTGTGTTTCTATGTATTTTAATTTACAAAATATGAAAAGAAGATAAACTAATGTTTAATTATCCTCAATAATAAAATAATAAAAGTTATAACCATTTATTAACATTCTTTTTTTTTTTTTAGATATATCTATTCAGGTTTAGAAATTCAATGCTAATAAACTTTCGAAGCAAAAATGTTAAACTCGTCAGAAGGAATGCAATATTCTTTGTCGACTGATAAGTCAAAGTATGCAAACTATTCCATTAACCATTTGTAATAAAATAAAAGAAATAGCCCTTCAAGGAACGCACATCTGTGAGGCGTGCAGAGCTATAGGGTCGTTTTATTAATTCACTCTCCCTGACTATTCGAACGAGTGCTCGTCGACGTAACGAAAGGAAAAAAAAGACAGGGGTGAACGGTCCTCTCTTACTATTTATTACCTAATTGCCGAGCTGTTACATTCGTAAATTATACTATCGAATACACAGGTGCTTCTCACACGCACAATGCTCGCGATCATTTAGTTGAATTGTAGTTACTTTCCACTTCTCATCTACTCGAAATAATTACACGAAATAAACGTTTGTCTTTCGACAGGATATAGCATATTTGAAATTTCTGTTATATATATGTTACATATATGTACGTTCGTAAAAAATTTCGAGGCACAGACGATTTCTAACGAACGTTCGAATTTTATCCATTCCTACTCGATCGAACAGTTTTCGTGAGTAGATGTACATGTTGAATCCAACCGGTAGAGTCTACATTGAGCGAAGGCGGCCATCCGTGAAACGCATTTAGCTTGTTGGCACACAGAACTCAACGGGACAACGAGAGCCCTCCTATGTGCTTTGGTATTGTGCTTACGACGTGTTCACGTGCATGTGTATAGTCAACAAAATTAATGATAACCCGACGCTTCCTAAAATCAGGAATATAATTTTCTTTACGTAGTTATTTACAGGACAACAAATATTTAAATGAAGAAAAATAAAGAAAATATATTTATAGGTACTAATAAATGAATAACTATGAAGGACTATGTCTTTAATAATACTTTGATAATTCTGTTGATACAAGGAACGTAATAGATATATAAGAATTTTTTTGGATCTCAGAAAAATGTAATTCAAGGATAATCTCGATCCTTTTCATAGCCAGCACGTAGGTAACAGGAAGGGAGCGATTTACGTAATCTCCAACCTGCGATGTATCATCAAGGGATTATAGATCCTTCGCTATCTTTTTTCTCGTCTCTTCAGGTTGGTTACCCCACCTCTCCAACATCCTGTTTCCCTATTTTGTACATGGCAGTAACTATAAGTATCAGCTCCCTCTGTTCGAGTCCTTTCCAAAGACGATCTTTTAAAATCCTTAATGTTCAAGTAGAGAATTGTGAAGATCGGAGAAAAAATAGGAAAGATAAAGGGAGCGAAAGAAAATAACGTCGAACAGATGTTATTACGCCTCTTTTCCTTGACTTCTCCTGTCCAAATACGCGTGAAGAATGTTTGTATGTGTATAAATGTGAAAATAGAAGAATCCTACGAAGAATAAGTTCGTGAGATATTAATAAAAGTTCGAGTAAAGCTATCTTTCTAAGCTTTCATTATGCTCTTGTCAAACAATTGTCATTATTATGAATAATATGATGTTTCTACGATGAAACATTAATTTTCACGTTCGAACATAAGATCAAGATAATTTATTATTCTCGGTAAGATTCCAATTTTGTCGAATACTGATCGATGATTGATTTTTCATCGGTCTCTTCTTCTCCTCCCCTCTCCTCTCTTTTCTATACCTACTTCAAGAAAGAATCAGAGTTATTTTGCTAGAACTCGAAAGGCCCTGGGGGCAAGAGTCATCAATTACGATTGGAAATAAATCGAAGGCAGATGCGACGAGTAGCTACAGGGCTAACACCGCGGGTGGTGGATTTTTCATCCCTTACCCCCTACGGATAATAGCACTGTTTGCTACAAATATAAAACGTTAGCACTAAACGTTCCAATCTCGGCTAACTTAAAGTCTTATGAAATTCCTATGCCGTTCGTTTGCTATGCGGAAGACATCAAAATGAAATATCATTTCATTGATCTTTTTTCCTTATAAAACATAATATTTATATCGTACTCTAAGCAAATGAATCTATTTTAAATTGTATAAAATATTAAATATTTCATTATTTTTTAATAATTATATATGCGGCGAAGAAATATTATCAAAATCTTCACGTTTTTTCGTTACTAACTGAAATGTAGATCATTACCATTTATCAGTCTTTCTTATATCGAGCACGTTCTTTAACAACGTAATGAAGTAGTATCTATATACATAGTTCGTTTTGGTAAAATATACGAGTATAACGATATGGTGTTTATCTACAGACCACAGGAAGTTAAAAAGGAGAGTGGCTGTTTTACGATAAAAATTTTTTGAAAAGACGTTCTTGACATGGGCATATAAAGTCGTCAAAACGTATCAAGGTAATTCCAACAAACTCAACAAACTTTTCTTATTCTTATTTTTCTTTTCTTCTTCTACTTCTACTTCTTCTTCTTTTTCTTCTTTTTCTTCCATGAATATACTTTCGTAAACATAGGACGATCTCGTGGGAAGTTTCGTATTTTCTTGTTCCCTAACTGGTATCAACTATCCGGAATCTGTAAGGTTTCTTCTTATAAGAATTCCTACGTGTACATTATCGTTTTACAACACCAAGCGCACTTAATTACTGTTCCATCAAAGAAATTTCGCACGTTATTGCGTTTTTTTGTCTATTGAAAGTACAGTCTCTATGTCAATCTGTATTAAGATATATCTATGTATCTTCTTTTGTTGCGTTCACACAGAGTATCACACATATTCGGTAGGAATTTTGTAATTCAATGATAATTATATTTCATCGAAACTTATATTTAAACTCTTTACAAATATGTACAAGATAACAAAAAAGGAAAAACTAAATAAAAAGAAAAATTTCCAACAAGCGTAGTGCTGAGCCAATAAAATGAATAAAATAAAATGCACGATGATGATTCATCGGGAAGTTGGGAATATACGAGTGGATATAATCGTGATTCATGTATTTCATAGTCGAACGTAGTCTCTGACGCAATGCAATCGCGACTTTCCTTTTCCTTCTTCTTTTCCGAGAAGCCTACTACTTTGTATTTTTGCATAGGCCACGTTCATCGTCGGTATCAAGAATACACTCATCATAGATTTAGAAGGGTCGTTATGTGTTTATAAATCATATTAAACTACATACGCACGATTAAAGTATTGGATACAAAATAATTGTCGTTCCAGTCGCATGCATATCCTGATGGCATTTGTAGATTTCAACGCATAAAATCTGAACATAAAAACGTATCATCACAACATTTCAAAAAGCTGTATAAGCAAAAAGAAATATACCACAAACGTATGGTGGATTATTTATAAAATATTATTGAAAATCTATATAAAATCCTAATGTAAAATCAAAAGTCCGAACGAACAAACAATTCGCTGACAATTTCGTTAATATTTCTCTTAGACATACATAGATATATAGTGTATATATAATATATACAAAATACATCTAATTTAATTTTATCACCTAAAAGATCTCATTTTTACATTTATTATGGATGAAAGGACCTTTGACGATCATCATTGATTGATTATAAATCATCATTGATTAATTATGAATCCCTTAGATAATTAAAGACTCGTACTATTATGAATATAGCCAACTAATGATATCACTCATCCAGTTTATCACTGTATCCTTGACACATTCATTTCTGAGACGTTGAGTCTCAGTACGCTCTCAGTCTGACCTCCATTTCTGGATCTTGTCGATGCGTCATATGAGGTTCCATCCCGGCACTAGTGGTACCTGTACCTCCTGTGCCAGTCACATGATGTCCCTGATGATGATGAAGGTGATGATGATTAAGATGAGGTGGTTGAGTAGCTCCACTCCTATAAGCCTTCTCGTGCATATCTCGACCACGCCGACTGTAAACTTCCAGCTGATTGCGAAGATGAGCGTCCTCCTCAGCAGCTAATTCCTCGTCGTATTCCAAACAACCAACACCGTCTAATCTATCAAGGTCGATCCATCCTCGCCATCGTACACATACGCCATTCATTATCAAGTGTGATCTTAGGTGTACCTGGAAATTTAACGAACACGGATATACGTCAACTTCTTTTCTTCTTTTCTTCCAAAATGAAATTAGTTGTTCTTTATTTGCAAATGTGTTTATTTCCTATTCTCTATTTTTTTTTTTATCTAAAACCACGAAAATAATCTCAAGAAATTTTTGTAAAGAAATGGTAATAGATGGGTATGTTTATGAAACTTGATTCTGATGTGATTTCGGATATACTAAATGTTTCTTTTCTTCTTTTTAATTATTGCAAATGAAGACAAACAATATTACTGTTTCACTTATTACATATATATCTGCACGATCACGTTTCCTATTACCTTCTCGCCACTAATATCCTTAAACGATTCTTATTTCGAGAGAACGATTACGCAAATTGGAAGGTACGATCACCGGTCTACCGTCGTTCTTAGTGTGCGAGATAAAATTGCGAGTTTGACCGTGCCAATCTTCGATATTCCCATCCGGGAAACAATAAACGACGAAAATATTGCTCAAGGAATTCTCAATTAAGATTCTTTTTTTTCTCTTTTTAATTTTTATATACTAAAATTATAGAATGACATAGAATACAAAATACATTTTAGACGGAATTATAATTCGTATATTTTTTTATATCGTAGGATACTGTGTAATTTGTAGGGTCATTTCCAAAAAAAAAAAAATATATACAAAAAAGACAACAAATTAATGAAAGAGAAAAAGAATGTTCGACGAAAAGGAGGATAAATTCAAGCTGTCAGTCCACAAGCAACTCCGAAACGAGCAATTATCTTCCGTCAGCCTATGCCTGGTGCAAGCGTGAGAGAGAATGAGAGAAAAGAGAGGGCTATTTTATTTCTTGACAAATGGTACGGTTTCCGGTCCCGTCCATGAAATCGCTCGTAGAAGAAGCGTTATAAGCGTTCAAATGTATTCTTAATGCGTCGTCGCATCTTTCATGTTGTTTTACAAAGGCACGTTCCGAAAACACTTTCCATTGTTCATTTGATATTTGCCCGTATTTTGTATTTCAATCAAGTCCATTCACCTTCGTATACTCTATAATTATAATTTTCGAATATGATAGGGAAAGAGAGAAGAAAGAGAGGAGAGAGAGAGAGAGAGAGAGAGAGAGAGAGAAAAGAAATGTTAATAAAATATCTATATAAAATGAAAAAGAAAAACTATCCCTGTTAGATACATACGTCGAGTACGAACGATGAAATACACAATAAATTTTACAGCTGGTTGGTAACGTAACGCGAACAATGCGAGCGACACCGTAGGAAGCTCTATATGAAGTTATAATTGAACCATGGCTTCTGACAGCGGGTAGTTCGACTTCGATCTACACAAATAGTCTATCACCTTCATATGTTGAATTAGAAAGAAAAAAGAGAGAAAAAAATGTTTACTACCGTCGAAGCAAAGCGACGACTGAAATTCCAAAAACATTTTCTGTTTCTTCTAATGAATCAATTACGAGTCGATCTTTTAATTTAAACATGAAAAGAATTCGAAAAAACAAAATTATCTTTTTATTATTATTCACGGTCAAAGTACGGCTAAATTACAACGTACAAGATAGGAAACCTTCCCTGCGATATTACCTTCTCGACCCTTGTTATATTCTCACGCGATATACGAGATTTTTTATATTCTTTTAACACCTCTCTTTCTTTCTTCCTCTCTCTTTCTCTTTCTCTTTCTCTCTCTCTCTTTCTCTTTCTCTTTCTCTCTTTCTTTTTCTTTCTCTCTCTGTCTATCTTGCATGGGCGTGACCCATTAGCAGCAAATAATAGTGACGATATTTAAACTGTAACGTTTAACAGCGGAACGATGCATATCTTCGAACGTCAACCCTTTTATTCGGCTAATTTGCATTGGTCTGCCAAAAAAAGAGAGAAAGAAAGAAAGAGAAGGCATCGTAATACGAATCAGCTACGAGAAAAGGGTTGAAAAATTGTAGACCAGTATATATGTATATATATATATATATATATATATATATATATACATATATGTATATATAACATATATATATATGTATATATGTATATACATATATATATATATATATATATATATATATATATGAGGGAGAAGAATTTTAAAGGGAGAAGAGCAGCAATATGGTTTAAACGTACGGAGATAAACGACTGGCTAGTCCTACGACGGTTCTTTCTTTTGTTTCTCGGTAGGCGTTACCTAGGTACCTTTTTGTGCAAGGTTCACTTCCTGCACAAAAGAGCGAACATTCGTCAGTGATAGCCCTTTCGAGTAAATCCCTTAAAAAATACAAAGCCGAAAAAAATTGCTATGGTCAGTAGAGACCCTAATAAAACTTTTCTCTTCTTTTGTATTTTTTCTCTTTTGTATTTTTAGAATTTTATTGAACAACAGACCTAGATGATAAAACTGTAAACTTTCACTTTTGATTTTTGTCCGAAAGATAAAAAATAATTACTAAAATTTCTCTTTTCTGAGTTTTTACTTGTATTTGACGTTACATGACGTTTACGTGACTTCGATTGTTTGAATTGTAAAAAAATATAAGAAAAAACCTAGATTTCTATAAATCGATAAGTCCATCTAATGTTTTGTATAATGTCTTTTTAAACAAATATGAAGAAAATTTCACTATCATATTTGATATAGATGTTAGATCTTACTCTTGTTACAACTGTTGATTATATTTGTAAATGTCATTAACCCTTAAATACATGTAACTGCAAATATACAACATATTAACGTTTAATATTGGTTAATGTGCAACGTAACGTACGTGCAACAATGTAATTTTCCATTAAATTTCGTAAAAAAAATGATAATTTTTATTATTTCCTATTATTTCCGCTTTAATGTTCACGTTATAGAAAGTATATTTCTTTCCTAAAAGTTTTTAAAAAAATAAATCATGCATTATAGATATAAAAAAATTTCAAAAATATTTTGTATGATAGTGAATCCGATGGCTAACAACGTATTAATTGTTTCGAATTTTTCAACGTAATGAGACGTTATTCGTTATATCTATCATCGAATTTTTATCCCTATCTTTCTTATAGGAAACGTGTACGATAAAAGGATCTACACTCTTCATATTATCGTACTTCATCTAGAGATCGCGAATCTCTGTCGTAATTACTGCTCCTCTGCAGGGCAACCGAAGACAATACGCAAGGGCACGTGTCGCCCCACGCCGCTCTTTATGCTGCCGTCTCTTTCTCTTCTTGCATTTTCATTGTCCGAATAAAACAAAACACGGAGTAGTGGGTAGTCGTGCGATTTCGGTCTCTACTAAAGGATGTTTGCAGCTAGCGAGAAAGTGCCAGTTGAATATCTAATGAATCGTTTTCTCAATCTTTCTAACGAGTTCTCGAAATTCTCTTCTCAAATTTACTTCTAACGATAAGTACACAAAATGTATTCTTTGTTTGAAACAATTGATGTAAATGAGCGACTGCAAACACGAATAATTCTTTCTTTTTATATCATCTACTTCGACTCTTTATTAAATGAATTATTATTCTCATCAAATACAATGAATTATTGAAATAAATATTAATGTGAAGATGTTATTTAATAATTATTCTATATCGAATATTTATATCTTTTTATCGTTTATAAAATATATGGACTTTACTATATAGTATTTAATCAAATTCAATATTTCTTAATATTTTCTTTTGTTATTAATACAACGAAAATTCTTTTTATTATTTCGTTTTTTTTTATTATTTCTAGTTACAGGTGCAGTTGTTTAAATCACTTGTTATACTCTTTTATAAAAAATGAATGAATTTATTCTTGGGAAAAGCTTGAATATATAATTTTTATTATATAATTATTTAATATATAATAATAAGTTTTAAAAAAATAAAGTTTTTACTTCCGATAAATAATTTGTATCAAGTAGGAAGTGTAATATAAAAGATTTTAAATAGTACAATTTTGATAATCCTGTGAAATTAATTAGTTTGTAATAAAGTATGTTTTATTGATATTTTAAATTATTGTTTGAAAGCAATGGAATGCAATGCGACAGAAAAGATAGAAAAAGCAGTGTCTGCGTTCGTTTGAGTGACTCTCGAATGTCCCGACGATACTCGAGAGGTACGGTTCAAAGAATGAGCCATGTGTCACATAGATTTACGACCGACCAAATTAACGAACGACTGTTAAATTTCCGAAGATATTTGCCCATGTCAGAATAAACTTCTTTCAAAAAAAAAAAGGAAAAAAGAGAGAGTCATTTGTCAAAAAAGAAAGTGAAATCTTAAGAAAATTGAGAAATGATTGAAAGGATTATCATTAATCGAATAAAAATATTCCATGAATAAAAATTTTCACATATTTACTTTTCGAATTAGAAAGTATGTCCTTAAAAATCTGCAAGTATAGCAAGAAAATGGCGGTCCAGAGACGCTATCGATCGCAATGGCGAAGCTGGAATATTGTCTCCCTCTCTCTAACTACACATATATACGCGTCGTCGGCACAAGGACAAAGAGTTCGAAAAAGCGAAAGGAAAAAAAGGACGAGAAATAAAGAAAAGAGGGTCCTGTGAAACTCCGTGGAATTTATTTTCGGTAGAACTTTCAAAGCTCGAAGAATAAAAATGTTCTTGGAATTGTTGGAATAAATTGTAAGAGCATCGTGAGATATTCGACTACATACCGAATGTGTCCCAGTTACAATTGCAGACCCTTGTAGAGTAAGAGAAAAGCTTTTTCGAAGTAAATATGTCGCATATTTGGTAATTGTTACAACAATACCATTGCCAGAAAGAGTAAAAATTATCTTAAATGTTATAGACCGTAAATTGATTCGAAAATAGATAAAAGTCTTCATTATAAGAAGTGTTAAACCATAATAATCTTCTATATAAATATTATTAGTAAGTAAACATTTGGATTTTGTGTTGTTATAGAAAAAAATGGATTCAAATGACTTTCAATATTAATATTAAGAATTCTTACCTTGCCGTGTTCTTTGTCAAAATCACAATCCTCTCTTCGATCAGGAGGATAAGTCCCACAAGCGTTACCAAAGACCAGTTGAAGATTCGTACCGGTTGCTGCGAATGCTATCTCTACTTGACCTTCACGGCAACTATTTTGAAAGCGCACTTGACGTTCTTCCATCGGCCTATCACGATACCCGGTGTACCTTACCTGCAATAATAATTTCGATTCGATCGTTACAAATAGTTGTATATCAAGAAAACAAGATCGATTTACTTTTCAAAGGGATTATACGCACTTGACTATAATGATATTCACGTATCGAAATTTTGAATGTAAATACTATGGATCGTTCAGTTTACATAAATACATCATAAATGTATGAAAACAAAAGAAATAGATTTGTCGATATACTTATATACAATAAGAGAACGTTGAATGTTAAGACGAATCGGATTTTACCTCGCTCTCACGGCTGAGTCTTCTGAAGAGCTCGTCGCTTTCGAACTTGGCCTTCTGATCAGGCACAACGCGTGGCATTTTTAACGCATAACGAGGTCGTGGTTGCTCATATAGTGCCATTGCATCAAAAGGCAGAACACCAACGCCGAGACCGGCCGCGCCACCCGCGTGCTCGCTCATTGCGTGCATCATTTTTTCGGCGTACATGCACAGGCTGTATCCTCACTTTTTTTTTATTATATTCTTACTTCTTCTTTCTTATTTTTGTCCGTTCGTTCTTTTTCCAATGAACTTTTGATTTACGATGTATCAACAGACAGTTCACATAAGCAAACGAAATTCGTGGATCAGGAAAAACTAGTTAAGAACGCGTATAATTACGTTAATGTCACGTTTTTTTTCTTATCGAGTAACACGATCGAAAGTACGAGATACGATTAGTCTTGACTTGTTACAGAGCTCCGAACTATACAGCGTCTCAGTGGAGACTGACAAAACTTTATATAGAAAAAGGTCCCCTCTTATTTTCGAAGAGCTCGTGTTAAGTCCCGCCTACCGACCAGCCTCTCGACTACTGTCCCCACTCGACTGCTTCGTGATTCGCGAAACTACGATTTTCCCCTACTATCATTACGTATGTTTGTATATATATATATATATATATAAATATAATATGAATTTAACCATTCATGCATGCATGCAAAGCATGTATGTTCAAACATACACCTTTTCTTATTATATATATATATATAAAGCACTTTTGTTACGTTACTTTGAATGGTGAAAAAAGTTTAATATTATAATTATATAAACAAATTTAGTAAAACTAGAAGTAATAGTAAATGTGTATAATAGGTATGCTTCCTAATTTTCTAGTTACGCACACGCTCACATGTATATATACAATGGTTATGGCATAGTATCGTATATATTTGAGATGAACAGTATTGCTGACTTAGTAATTAAAATATTACTAAGAATTCGCTTAAAAACGAATTTTCAGAAGACTGTATATTTAATTATCTTTATTTTAAGTCATTTTTATCGAAGTGATGATAAGTTTGAGGAAATTTTTCGGAAAAATTTCTTCGATAAGATGAACTTGAAACTACATTTTTTACAAATAATAGACACAAATATAGGTCAGAAAAAAATGAGCAAAAGGGAAACTATTATCTGAAAGTTAGGTGAAAATTTCGTACAACATTTCTCAACACTATTGATGGATGTTTTAACATTTCCTTCGTCGACAGAGTAAAACTCCTAATTAAAGTTCTCTTTTCTATTACTTTTATAAATTAAATTTAAAAAAATTGGTCTTACAACAATCTAAAACTTTGTTATTTTTTGCCATGCTGTGTACCTTTTTCCGAATTTACGATTATTTTTTTTACATTTGGAAAGACATCTTCAGAACAATTTATTTATAGAACAGCCAATAACTGTTATTTTTAGATAAATAATAAATCTTAATTACACATTATTGTACACTTATAACATAATGACAACAAACTTGTGTAGATACGATATATAGAAATTATAAAACAAAAATATTTTATACTTACAAGTAAATGAATAATCCTTCAAAAGGTGTTGTGTATCTATTGCAACTGTCGAATATATATATGTATATACAACACACACATTATATATATATACACATATCGTTAAGTGTTCTTCTCTCTTTTGGATAGATAAAGAAAGCTTCGCGGTATTCCTCTCCGCCTCTTGGCTTATCCGATTGGTCCATAAGTTTCGCCAATCCTAGCATTCCCTTCAGCGTTAAGATTAAGAAGAATACATTCGAGAGGACTGCATATGTCCACACATATATATACATACGTTATTTAGACGTTACGAGAGATTTATACACGTATATATATACACGCCATTGAATGTATTATCTCCCCCTAACGATACTCTAAAGACGGCATAACAAAACATGACTCGTTCTCCCTCTATTCTTCTCCCTTGTTCTGCTGCTTATACATCACTCTTCTCTGTTAACGAAAGCAGCTTTCATTTTTTCGGTATATCACGTTACGGATCGACATATTATTACATACTATATTCGTAGGTAAGTACTTAAAAAAAAGTGGAAGTATACAAGTTAGGTATACTTCGTAAAATAAATATGAATCTGTATATTTTAATGATAGTAGTAAATAAGAGATTTTTTTAAACAGTTACATATAAATTCGTAATACTTGAACTTTGATTTAATGTTTATGTACATAAATGTTAATAATTTAATAATTTGTCCAAAATAAATATGTATATGTATATACACATATATATATATGAATGTTTATGTATATAATTGTTAATTTCGTACTTCCAGTATGTGTGTGTGTATAGTTCTTTTGTATAATACGAAGAATGATGTATTTCACTTACAATTTAGTAAAATTGTGCGAAACGTTCACGAAAGCGTCAAATCAATAGAACGTATTCGTTGCTAGAGAAACTATGTATATCGAATAAACATTCGAGAATTTTCAGAGAAGTGCAATGTTGATCAAAAAGAAAGTTCGTGAAGCAGTAATTGTCGGACAAGATGATCACTGTAAACAATATCATTTTAAGGTCAGTATACGTTATAATCTAAAAGGAAAATGATCATTTAAATTATACCGATAAAACGTATTTTTCTTTACTTTTTTTTCATATTTTTAGTTAAGGCAAGTTAAATCAGCCATCGACATGAGTCCTCCAAAAAATAGATCCCATGTTATTTTCAATGCAAAACGAGCGCAATTAGAGCGAGAAAGACAGGCACGAATTGTGAAAGATAATTTTATTCTTTTACAAAAACTTACTGCCATTATGTATCGCAAACAAATCAAGGAAAAATATCAACGTATAAGATGGCAGGAATCGAAGTGTATAAAAATACGCTAAAATTATTAAAAAAATTACTGAAATATTCGAATTTTAAATTGTATATCGTATCTTGTATCTTATACATTGTTTAGCAATAAATATTAATTTCTTTAAAGCTAATAACTATTATCGCATTATTTTATCATATAATTTAAGAATTAAAAGAAAATGTTAAGACTCAAATTTCTATAATAATGAAGAAAAATTGCTACAAAAATGCCACCTTCAAAATGGAAGTATAGAAATTAAGAATATCAGTTGATAAGTTAAATTGTGACATTACCATCTGCAAATATTACAGAATATAGAATAATAGATTATTAATTGGCGCTACAATCGTTTTATTCTCAGATAAAATGTAACCTTTACGTGATGTTTGAACACCTATGTTTCAAACGTGGGATCATCGAACTGAATTGAACTATGTGGAGAGAAAACATGACTTTGTAATTTAACGATTTTTAATTTTCAGCTTTTTAATTTTCAACTTTATTAAAGAATTAATAGATTAAAAACTAATAAAAAATATTAAAATAATTAATTTAGAAACGTCAGTGATAAACTTAATTATTTATTACTGTGCTTAAAAATGACAGTTAACTTAGAAGATGCAAAAAAACAATTTATCGATTTGATGCGAAATTTAAACAAAAAAGATCAAGAACAATTCTTTTCTTTTATTTTGCAAGAATGGAAACCTATGGAAACTGTATTCCAATATCGACCAGGTTTGTACTTTTAATAAATTATTCATTTTGAAAAGTATATCAATCTTATTAAATATTTAAATGCATGCAGTTGCAGGTGATTTTAGGAAAGATATGGAGGATGCAATTATAGATGATCCTGTGTTCTTATTAAATTCAATTGCATATGATATAAGGAAAAGAGTTCCCTTTAATGGAATATTATCTACAGAACATATAAAATTTCCTAAAAAAGGAGAGGTATGTTAATTAAAATTTTTAAAAGTTTTTATAATGTTTTATTAAAATTTAAAAGTTCTTATAATATTTCATTAAATATTATATTTTACAGAACTCGGACTGCGAATCTAATGTAACGTTGCATGTTGATGAATTTCTTTATGACGACGATGATATGAATGAATTAATAGATAATGGAAAATTACAAAAATATTATTGTATTGATTGTGGATCACGAAATATAAAACCAATAAGTAAGATAATAAAACTAGCATTTATTTTTTATAAAATTATTCTGATATATACATTATTTATTTTGTAGTATTCATTTCGCATTCCATGTCAAGAGATGCTTTGTATTTCATATTTAACACCTTATTACCAACTTTAAAAGGAAAAACGGTATTGGATATTGGATCAAGACTAGGTGCAGTTTTGTATGGTGTAAGTAGAAAGAAAAACTATTTTATTTGTATATATTGCATATAATGTAGTTATAGTAAATATGAAATAATATATATTTTGTAGGCATATGTCTATACAGATGCTAGTAAAATCATTGGCATTGAAATGAATAAAGAATTTTGTGATCTCCAATGTAGCATTGTAAATCAATATAAAATGAATGATAGAATTGAAATTTTACATAAAAAGATTGAGGATGCTCCAGAAGTGGTAAAAATAAGTGATGTTATTATTATGAATAATCCTTTTGAATTTTATTTATCTGAGTCTGTACAAGTAGAAATGTGGAAATTTTTGAAAGATAATTTAAAGAAAGGAACAATTCTTGTTGTACGTCCAAATATTGAAACAATGTTAAAAGATTTACAAACAGGAATCGTAATAAATGATTGGTTAAAACCTCTTTCACATCAGTCAAATAATCAAGAAGTTTCTTCTTTTTCATCTGTTACTAGTCAAGACGATGACAAATATGATAACATTGTATGCTATGAAATTAAATAAAAGATATGGACATTTTAATATATTTTGATTAAATTTCAATTGTAACTGATATATTATATATAATAATTGTTAATGCGTGTATATATATATATATATATATATATATATATATATATATATATATTTACTCATATTTTTATAAGTAATTAACAAATACTTATAACACCTAGCAGCTAAATTAAGATTCAAATTGTTTTTCTCATCATTAGACTATTTTTCCCTAGTTGAATACTAAATATCGTCAAATCGATATAGAAATTAATTATGAAGCCTATATTTAAATCCTTAATATCATCGGCTAGAAAATATTTTCTGGAAAGACAATGATTCGTTAATTGAGAAAGTGTGGGTTTATCGTTGATAACCCATTATGTAGAAAAAACTGCACATCAAGTAACAATAGTAATATGTTTATTTATTTATGTTCGGTATTCAGAAAGTACAATCAGATTCTGACTTCCAGTAGCTATGATTGTGATCTTTAGAAGAGTCGAAGAAAGAGTAAATGATTTTTTTTGTGTTCCCGGTGTCTTTTCTATCTCCTTTGTTTTCGGCCTCTTTATTGTCTTTCACTTTGTTTGGTTGGTTTCCTACGTGTGAGTTGGTGACGCCGAAGCGTTTAGTTATGTGTCTTGTCGGTGGAGGCGTAACAGTTGTAACGAGGTCGCCACAAGTTACGAATGAGCGCCATTTCCCGATGCTTCATAGTACTTGCATGTTTTTGAAACAGATCATTACTTTACAAATTTACAATTTTTCCATTATTTGTTCAATTTGCATTAGGATAACAAAGATTTGCTAGGTGATTTACTAGGCGAATAAATAGAGAATTTATAGAGATTTTGGAAATATTTTTCTTTGAAAATGTATCAGAAAATCTGAGCAACGGTTTATGCAAACAATCTGCATAATCAGTGTCTGCTTCATGGAAAGCACACGTTCAGGCATTTATATGAAAATTAGTAGTGAGGTAGGAGCTTTTTTTCTGTTACTGTAAACTTCAACGATCACGTCACTATGCAAAACTTTTTTTCATGAAAATATCGAAAATAATATTTATGCCAACAATGACTCCAAGCGTAATTCTTGATCGATATTGTAAAACAAGATCTCATTTTAAAAATTAAGATTTAAGTGAGGATATAGTTTTTCGAATTTTTACAAAAGCTTTTGTTTTATGACGTCGGTAGCCAATCAGCATGCGATTTCATCCAGCCAATCCGGATTTGACAATTTTTGTGCCTGTGAACCTTGGCAATACGGAAGCATTTAAGTTTTTTATCTCTTTCTTGAGTTTTGGTTTGTGTCTAGCTATAAACTTCTTAAATTAAATAATCGTTGTATTAATATCAAATAACTATATATAATTAATTTAATATTATTAATAATAGTATAATAATATTATATAATATATAATAGTATTAATATAAAATAATTAATTAAATAATCGTATTAATATAAAATATATTCATCGTTTCTGTTTATTAAAAGAAAGTTTGAGTTTATTCTTTTCAATTAGAATTATAGAATAAATTCTAAATTGGTATCGCGAAATAGTTCAATTTTACCAGAACTGGATAAAATCGCGTCAGTGTTTGTTATAAGCATGTGCGATAATTCTCTCAATAAAAGAAAGTGAAAATATTAATTAACGTACTGAGGAGAGATTAATTAACGTTATTCGGAAGTTGAAGCAGTAAAAAATTTTTTAATATAATATATTTTTAAAAATTTAGGACAATTTTTTTATTCTATTATTAAAATATATTATAGATTTCCTTTTTTTTATGAAGATTGACAGAAATTGTGCTATCTGTGTAATCGAAATGCATAAAAATTAGGGAGCATTTCATTACATAAGTAAATATATAAGAAATATTTTTAATATTTAATAAATTTCTTATAATAAATGATAGTAATGTATAATCAATTTCAATATTACAAAGGATTTGAACGTATACCAAAAATAATTAAATGTTTGCGAATTAAGTTTAAACGATGATGTATCATATATTTATATCTGTTTTATCCATTTTGCTAAAACGGATATCAATAGAAGATGTAATATATTCGGAAGAAATAAATCTGTAATTAAACCTGGAGCAATCCATACATTGTTTATAATATAATTCTCTTGTCATTTAAAAAGAAATTGATCTATCAGAAACACTCACAAACCATAGTTATAAATGACAATTTCATTAGATATTTTGTCAGATATTGAAATTAAAGTCGAAGGTAAATTTAAAAGTTTTTAACATTGAAAATGTTTTTGTTAGAAATAGTAACTAACTTTTGTTAGAAATAGATAATTTGTTCCTTAGTTTATTTATATTAATTTTCTTTCATTCTAGTTTCTGATGGAAATTGTAAACTCTATTCCTATAAAATGTAAACTGTTTATTTCCAAAGGTGATGACATCAATAATACAAATAAATTCCATAAAGCAAATTAATCAATTAGACTTATTTGAGAATTGAAATTAACGCGTTACGTGCCAATTTGAATTTTGGACACTTTCCGTTCAAACCATGTGAAGGCGTATACGCTTCACGCTTTACGATTAAATAGTTTTGCTTCTAACGTATGCCTTACAATCTGTACAATAATACAAAGATGATAATTATCGAGAAAAGGGTGTAGAGATTAAGATGCATAAGACAACAAAGCAATACATTTCATTTTCAAGGAATTATTTTAATAAACACATGATTTTATTCTTTTTACAATGAGAATTCCAAATGGCTTGAACGGAAATTTCAGTGTGGGCCGCATACGCCCTACACGGCACGAGACGTGTTAATAGTGTAATAACTATAATTTTTTTTCTTTAGTTGTTTTAACTAAACATTACTTTTATTATTTCAGCTCCAAATTATAATAGCTACAATACTTCCAAAAGGCGATGGATATTCTTTAAAGCACATTATATTTTGTAAATCACAACTGCAGATGTTGCAACACCAAGAAGGATTAAGAGTCATCGAGTTGATAAAAGCGTCTGACCTGCAAATATTGGAGTAAATTAAAAGTTTACAAGAATAAATAGGGCAAGTTAAAACATATTAAATCTTTATAAGACTTACAATCTCATTTTAAGAATAAAAGAATGATAAAAGAGTGGAGATACTTTTATAATAAAGTATAAATAAATATGGAGTATTATTTTTCTTTTAAAATGTACATAAAACGTTTATTACGTTTTAAATAAGGAATTTCAATAATGTTGATATACAGAAAAGGAATATAAAAATGAAAACAAATTTAAATAGTAATAATCAATGAACAAATTGTTGTTACTATTTTTAACAAAAACATTCAGAATATTAAATACTTTTAAATTTAGCTTCAACTTTACTTTCAATATCCAATAAAATATATATGACAAAATTGTCATTTATAGTCATATTTGTGAATGTTTCTTTTGATAAATCATCAACTTCTTATATTGTATGACAAGATTTACGATAAACATTGAAGGAACTATTCCAGGTTTAATTACAGATTTATTTCTTCCAAAAGTATTACATCTATTTATATACATTGTGGAAAAGTAGATAGAACAAATATTAAAGTTTGGAGAAAAAGTTTCTTTGTATTTTAATGTAAAGGTAAATCAAGTCTTTTATATTTCAAACGAAGTTTGTTACACCAAATATATGCCGTTTTGATCAATCATCATTTGCCTTTTTTGATGTAAAATCATAATCCCATTATAGTAGAACTTCTGTGTTTTTTGGACAATAAACTCTCACAAGTGATTTTTACAGATTTTTTTAGAAATCAGTTTTACACCGTTAAAGGAATTCTGCAGAGACTCGAACAAATGGTAGTCTGATGGTGCCAGGTCAGGAATATACGGTGGGTGTATTAAAACTTCCTAGCCAAGTTCTTTCAAGTTTTGATGGGTTACCAATGATGTGTCAAGTTTAGCGCTATCGTAATGGAAGATGACATCTTTCTTATTAATCAATTCTGGTCGTTTTATCTCAATAGTCTTTTGGTCATGTAATCATCAATTGTTTGGCATAATCTTTCCAGTTATTGATAGTAGGGATTAGAATCAATCATTTGACCAAGCAGCAGCAGCTTATAGTGAACAATTGCTTTGCAATCTCACCATAGCATCATTATTTTTAATGTAAATCCTGGCTTTGCCACTGTCTGTGGAGCTTTACCTTCCTTCGATCATGTTCGACTTTCCGTTCATTATTGTTATATGTGATCTATTTTTCATTACCCGTAATGAGTCGTTTCAAAAATGGTTCAATCTTGTTCTATTTTAGCAACGATTCGCTGATAGAAATTCGATCTATTAAATTTTTCATTGTTAAATCATGTGGCACACAAATATCGAGTTTTTTTTTGTATTCAGCCTTTTTGAAATGGTTTAAAACTGTTTTATAATCAATATTTAGTTCTTTAGCGACGTCATGATTGCTAATATGTCAGTCTTATTTAATTTTTTCCATGATTTCATTAAATTTTTCAGTCATTGCTCAAACCAGAGCGAAGTGCATCATTTATATAAAAATTTCCAGATTAAAAACACTTGAACCGGCTTCTTGCTACACTAGTACTGCATCAATTTCATGAACATTACAAATTTTTTTAGTCATCTGAGTCGCATTCTTCCCATTTTTGTAATAACATTTCAAAATGTTTCGAATTTTTTCTTTATTTTAATTCATTTTTAAAGCGTAATAACTTTTAAATAAATAAACGAATATAATCATAATCTTTCTAAAATATTCAGTGATATCACTTTTCAAACGCATACAATTACCAGATTTGATTAATATTAATAGAGTTATACGATTATAATGTTAGCCGGAAAAATACAAAAAAATTTTCCTCAACCCAATATAAATACGTGATATGTGAATTATCATTAATCTATACTGCCATATTTTTTGAAAGGCTGAAGTTAAATATATATTTCTATTAATATAAAAAATTTATAGTTATAAAAAATTTATTAAATGCTATAAATATTTCTTGCACCGTTTCTTTTTTC